GCCTCCTTCTCAAATTTTTCAATGGTTCTCTTGTCAATGCCACCACATTTGTAGATCAGATGTCCGGTAGTGGTGGACTTGCCCGAATCTACGTGTCCAATGACGACGATGTTGATATGAGTCTTTTCCTTCCCCATTTTGGATTGTATGGGCGGTTTTCACAACACCTAAGATGGAAGGAAAAGAAACCTTTGAACCACTGTTGAAAGGCTTGAGAATAAGCCAGGAGCTGAGCTCAAAGGGCAAATTCCAAGGAGAATTACAACTAGTGCCAGCTGCGCGGGCCGAACTCTTGTCTCCACCCACTAAGCAAAGGGAAAACTCCGTCGCCTGAAATCTCCTCCCCCACCCGGTGGGGACGCGCTCCCGGGGCGGGAGGAGGGATCTGGGCGCACGGACGGCGGCCGGGCCGGAGGGGGCACAGGAAGCGGCGGCCGCCGCGGGGAAGGCCCTTTTCCTTTGTGTGGGTGACTCACCCGCCCGCTCCCCGGCCGCCGCGTCCTCCATTTTGAGCTCCCCCGGCAGGCCCGGGAGCGGCCATCTTTCCGCGCACGCAACTGGTGCCGCGCGGGCCGCCGCGCCGCCGGAGTGGGGTGGGGTGGGGCGGCCACCGGGGCCGCCGGCCCGCGCCGCTTTCCCTCTCGCCCGGCTCTCGGACGCCCCGCCTCGCCCAACATGTGCGCCGGGCTCGGCCGCCACCCTGGGCGCCCCCACGGCCACCCAACCGGACGGCGACCTCGCGGCCGTCCAGCCCAACCTCCCCGGAACGGTCTCGCCGGAGAGGAAAATCGTGGCGGCTCACTTTAAAAAAGCTCGAAGCGATGAGGACGGCGGGAGCGGGGCAGGCGAGAAGTGAGAGCGGATTCGCACGCGGCGGCCACGGCGCCCGAGCCAGGCCTCCCCGCGAGCACGAGGCCAAGAGGCTCCTGAAGAAAGTGCAAGGCCTCGAACTCCCCCACCCCACTCACAGCCGGGAATTCGGGATCGAGAACCTCGTAAAGTGGCTCAGCGACAAGGCGCTAGAGAGAAGCACGCGAGGGCCGCGACCCACCGAGGGCGGCCAGGCCGGCGGAAGCCACACCCGGCACTCACCTGTGTTCTGGCGGCAAACCCGTTGCGAAAAAGAACGTTCAGGGCGACTACCGCACTTATATACGGTTCTCCCCCACCCTCGGGAAAAGGGCGGAGCCAGCACACGACACCACTTTCCCAGTTTACCCCGCGCCACCTCCACTAGGCACCGGTTCAATTGCCGTCCCCTCCCCCCAACTTCTCGGGGACTGTGGGCGATGTGCGCCCTGCCCACTGAAGGGCACGCAGCTCCTCGCGCATGCTCCTCTCGACCCCAATGACGAGGAGAGCGAGTGGGTGGGAGGCGGGGACGCGGCGATCTCTCGGTTCTAGGTTAGTGGGAGTTTACCGACGGTCCCTGGGATTCCCTAAAGCAGGGGCCAGCCCTCCTTTTGTATGAATTACTCTCCGCACCCTCTGGAGGGGGAGGCGGTGTCGCGGCGAGGAGGCAGGCTGGAGCGGCTGTCCAGAATCTTCCCTCCATTATTCCTGGCTTAATCGTAAAGATTGCGTGGAGATTTGGGTGTCCCTTCCCCCCCGCCGCAGTCCAGCTCCCATATGGCCGGTCCCACATAGAGCCTCTTCCTCTGCTAGTCGCAGCCTAGTCCGAGGCTGGCTCCTCCCGTCTGGGAGGAGCACCACGTCCTCGAGACCTCGAGGGGCTTGGGCGGAGGCCAGAGACTGGGGGCCGCCTTCTAGGCTCAAGAATCCGAAGGCAGTTCTGGGCGGCCGTAAGCAGGACGAGTCTGTTCTGCGCTGGCCTCTTAGTTCCTTCCGCTGAAAGCCAGCTGCTTTTATCGAAGTCTGTAATAAACGTCACCCCACTATACTCCGGTATAGTGCACTGATACTCCAGATGTCCAGATTTTCAGTTTCGACAGACTTAAGTCCTACAGTTAACTTTACATCTATTTTTGATTTTGTTACCCCAAAAAGATCCTCAGAAAGAATGTGTGTCTATCCTCTGGTATCTTTTTTAAAGTATACAGTCATTCTGTTGCAACCATGAGAAACCTAAAAAGAATGCATCAAATTCAGTTTTTCCACATGATCTCATGTAGAGACTGAGATCTACAGCATCAGCAAGCTTATTCGCCCAGCTTCCTACCCCCAAGCAGTGTGAGAACACTGCTCCTATTTAAATAAGTACCTTCGTTTTCTGTCTTACTGAGTGCAACGGCATTTCAGCATAAATCTAGGGTGAGATTGGATAAGACAAGGCCTTTTTGGATGGCTCTCAGGGCAGGCCCTGGGAAACGCTCCTCTGAGGAAAGATGAACGTTTATTACTGGATCAGTGTGTCTTTTCTCCCAGGTGTGGAATTCACTGCCCAACTTCTCCAATCAGCTTATTAGCAAGTGTTTATTTCAGAACCTACTATGTGTCCAATGCTAATTAGAAGTACTGTAGTGTTCAGAAGTAATTTCCTTCTGGAGAGGAATCCACGATCACATAGAAAGAGGAAAACAATTAGAAAGCACAGCTAAGGCAAATTTGTATGGTACTTTCTTGGTTTTTATTTCATCATAGAATATAGTTCTTTTAATTGCTACCTTTCAGTTATTTTTCATAGTCCAAACACCTTTTCTTTCTTGAGAGAAAGAAATCTGCAATAACCTTTCTATACACACACACACACACACACACACATATATATTTTAACCTCTTCTTATAGATAAAACATTCCAAAAATCAGCTCAAGGCCTGTTCCGGGCGCCGCCACATACACTGAGGGTGACTGGTTCAAATCCAGCTCGGTCTAATTAAACAACTGCAACAACAAAAAAAATAGCCAGGCGTTGTGGTGGTCACCTGTAGTCCCAGCCACTTGAGAGGCTGAGGCAAAAGAATTGCTTAAACCCAAGAGTTTGAGGTTGCTGTGAACTGTGATGCACTCTGTCCAGGGCAATAACTTGAGATTCTGTCTCCAAAAAAAAAAAAAAGAAAAGAAAAGAAAAGAAATCAGGTTTCTCTATTTTTTCATTAAAAAGGGTCTAACCTTCTCATTTTCATTTAACTTTGAGATAGTTTTAATGAAAGAATCGAGGCCAAATAAAGTTTCCCCAGAAATATATACAACTAATCTGTTCTTGTCCACAAAAGCCTTTTCTATAATGTCTACTTTTTAGCTTCTCTCCTTTCAAAAATTCTTTTTTTCACATTGAATTTTCCTAGTGCCCTTAACCAACCAATCATATACATGTGAAATAACATTATCGTGATACCCTAGTCACTGTTTGTAATAAGAGAAAGATGTTAAGCAGTACCAATGAAAATGAATCACTAGCAATAAAACGATGCCCTCTCATTAATTTTCTTGGAAATATTCATTAATGAGTACGCTCCTTGGGATTAGATTCCTACAATCAGCTGTGTTAGTATATCAGAGTAATATTAACTGCATGGTGTTATCTCAGATTAAGATTAGGGTGCCACACTACACTTATTTTCCATGCCTTTTCTAACAGTGGGTTTGGAAAATATACTAAGGTACATATTTAAACAGGAATGGCATTTTTTTTTAGAATCTAAAGTTACAGTTATTTAGTGAAGGGAAGGAAAACAAAGACTGAAAGCTGAATATTTCAAAATTTTACATGGAATCCAAGAATCATACCTAACACCTAATTTTAAAAAGAAATGAAAAATCAGGCTAGCTATGGTAGCTATAATCCTAGGACTCTGGGAAGCCTAGCCAAGAGGATTGCTTGAGCTCAGGAGTTCAAGATCAGCCTGAGCAAGAGCCAGACCTGTTGCCACCAAAAATAGAAACATTAGGACAGGCTCAGTGGCTCACGCCTATAATCCTAGTACTCTGGGACGCCAAGGTTGGTGGATCGCCTGAGTTCATGAGTTTGAGACCAGCCTGAGCCAGAGTGAGACCTCATCTCTAAAAATAGCTGGGCGTTGTGGTGGGGGATACTCGGTGGGTGAGGCAAGAGGCTTGAGCCCAAGAGTTTGAGATTGCTGTGAGCTGTGATGCCATAGCACTCTTTTAAGGATGACAAAGTGAAACTCTGTCTCAAAAAAAAAAAAAGAGAAAAAGAAAAATTAGTCAAAATAGTGTCAGGTGTCTATAGTTCCAGTTACTGGGTCGCCTGAGGCAGGAGTATCGCTTGAGTCCAGGAGTTTGAGTTTGTTCTGAGCCAAGCTGGTACTACAGCAATCTGGCAGGGCCTCAGAGTGACAGTCTCAAAAAGAAAAAAAAAAAAAATCAAAATGATGGTGGATATTGCTAAGAGGGAAAAGTATCAAAGATAATGTTACTTCATGAACAGAACCTTTTCTGAAGAAGATAGACAAATGGGCAACAAACATATGAAAAAAATGCTCATCAACCCTAATCATCAGAGAAATGCAAATCCAAACTACTCTGTGATATCATCAGACCCTAGTCAGTGTAGCCCACATCATAAAGTCCCAAAGCTGCAGATGCAGACACGGATGTGGGGAGAGGGAAACGCTTTTATGATGTTGGTGGAATTGCAAATTAATACAACTCTTTGGAAAAATGTATGGAGAATCCTCAAAGAACTCAAAAGAGAACTTCACCTTGATCCCACAATCCCATTACCAGGCATCCACCCAGGAGAAAAAAAAAATTATTACAAGGACATTTGCACTAGATTGTTTATCACAGCTCAGTTTACAATCACCAAGATGTGGAATCAATCCAAGTACCTACCAACCCATGAAGGGATTAAAGACTACATTATATAAATACCATGGAATACGATTCAGCCATGAAAAAGATGGAGACTTTACATCTTTTGTATTAACCTGGATAGAGTTGGGGAACTCCCTAGTAAAGTACCATGAGAATGGAAAAGCAAGTATCCAATGTACTCAATTTTATGAAGCCAGTAGATGAACTAATACTTTCTTCACCCACAGAAGAAAAAAACTCAATTTAATTCAAGTTGGGGAGGGGATGGGGGAGGAGGATTTGCATGTTCCCACCTCATGGGGAGAATATAAGGGGATATGGCACACCTCCTGTATGCCGGATACTGCAACAGGGGCCTTACCTAACAAATGCAAACATGATAACCCAATCGTTGGTATCCTCATATTAATCTGGGGGGAAAAAAAGATAATGTCACTTTAGTAAAAGTGATCTCTGTGAAATACTCACTGTTCATTGAAATGGGCATTGCAAACTTAAATACTTTCCCACTATCATAAAATTGTAATATTGGAGATAATGTACGCTTTCAGTTGAATTAGTCTGCTTTGAAATATGGACCTACTACCATTTAAGCAGTAATTTTTAATAGGTGCGGTATTCAGCATCACGATGAAATTCTTTAAAAGTTGACTGCAGAAGAATCCAAAATTCTAAATATAATTAAAGTGACAAAATAGTCCAAAGAGGTTTCCACAACATAAATAATAGCAGCCCAATTTTCATTACGTTCAGCAAAGAAAAATCAAAAAACACGACTCCAAAGCTATCTCAGAATACAGGCAGGTTTTCCCTAAACCACCATGATTGCAGATAAAGAGTAAACGCTTTATAAGCACCTCGTAGAGAATGCTTTTTAAAACAGCAGCCAAGGAACCACAAAGTCACGGGAGTCTTTGATTTATGACTAAGAAACCTACTGCGCGTCCCCACCTGGGGGATCCTGATGTTGCGGTAATGGCCGAAACTCTTTGGGGGAGGGGAGATCGCAGTTCTCCCGCTTAAGAACTAAAACGTTTGAGCCCATTGGAGCCATATTATCGGGCGTTAGGGGTGGACACTGTCCACAAGCATTTTCTCTGGGCAGAGATCACATTTCTGCTCTCGGTGGAGGCCGGAGGTGGGCGGGAGCCGGAGCGTGACCTGAACGCCAAGCCCGGCGAAAGACGCCGCACCCGACTCCCGAAGAGGGGAGGTTGGGGCGACACGCAGTGGCACTGGCCCTGCTCCCGCGCCAGACCCCAGCGCGCCGCTGCCGTCGCTCCGGCGCTCGGACACCTGCGGGCGGGCGGGGCCTCCCCAGCGCTGGGTCGCCAGGGCCCGCCCCGACACGCCCCCTCCTGAGGTCACTTTCTTCTGGCCTCGAACTGCGGAAGGTCCGAGGAGGGGGCAGAAAACCTCATAGCTTGGGGTGAGAGCCGCTGTTTGTTAGCGTGGGCTGGCTTCTAAAACACTGAAGCGAATAGTTTTCTTT